TTGTTTAAGGCTTACAACATGATCTTAATGTCTCTTAGCTTATTTAGAAAAAGAATTACATTTTTCATTTGCTTCATGGCATGTCTTTCTTGTATTCTTTCATTATCTATAGGGATTCTCTCCCTAACTCTTTTTTTTCTTATAATAACTGAAAGATTTGACGGCAATAATTTCCTGTTGCTTATTTTATGTAAAATTAGTTTTCCTGAACTTTTCTTTAAAATGTTTTTATTCATTTTAGAGAGAGGAAGAGAGAGGGAAAGAGACAGAAACATCAGTGATGAGGGAGAGTCATTGATCAGTTCCCTCCTGCATGCCCTCTACCAGGGATTAAGCCCGAAACCCAGGCATGTGCCCTGACCAGGAATGTGCCCTGACCAGGAATTGGACCCTGATTTCCTGGTTCATCGGTTGATGCTCAACCACTGAGCCCTGCCACTGAGCCCTGGGAAGTTTTCCTGAACTTTTAAGAGGGAGACATGGTTCAGGGTAGCCTTCTATTTTCACATAGCTCTTCTTTTGGTTGCTTTCATATAGTGTGGTTGCTTTCCTGTAGTGTTCCGAAACACGGAGTTGCTTTTTGAGATTTCACTCACACACACACACAATTTTACTTATTTATTTATTTTCCCTTAACCATAACTTCCCCTATCCTGATTATTTTGACTCCACTCACATACTGAATTTCTCTTTGGCATGGAGCCTTGTCCTGGAAGTGAGCCCTGCTGGGTTGGTTTCAAGAGATTATAGGGACCATTCCACAGATCTCTTCCACCCATCCATTATTTGAATGCTCAAAATCCCTCTCAATTTCAGTTGCTGTTCTCACATTAACCTGCCAAACTTTCCAGTGAATTCCTGTTGAAANATTTCAGTTGCTGTTCTCACATTAACCTGCCAAACTTTCCAGTGAATTCCAGTGAATTTGGGGTTCTCCTATTCTCAACTCTGCCAAATGCCCCAGTGCTTACTTCTGTTTTCTCCTGTATGGATGTTGATACTCTGCAGGTCTTGTTGATGGTGTATTCCAAGCCACTTGTGTTTTGGGTTTTATAGGGATAACTTGTCACCTAGTTTTATTGTAAATATTGTTAATGGGTTTCAGAGTTTGCTATGTGGGGATTCAGAGAGAATTAAAAACTATGCTGTTGTCACCATCTTCCAAAATCACAAATGATTTTTAATGGACTTTTGTATCTCGCTTCTTTCTTTCTTTCATATTAGACAGGAAACTAAAATACCAGGTGGTCTGGTTCGATTCCAACACCTGGCAACTCCAATGCTCCCCCAAGAGACTAAAAACTCCAGGGGACCTGGCTTCACATCTAAGCTAAAGGCACATTGGCTCTGGCAGGGGAAGCACAGCTTTAGCACTGCATCCTCAGAGCATTTACCACCCTCCCTACAGTCTTCCAGCCTCAGGAAATTGGGCAGGGGCAGGCTGAGCAACACCCTAGGACTGAGACTAGAAAATCAGGCCCAAGTTTCACCATGAGTCCTGCTAGGCAGCTACTCTAGGTGCAGCCTAATTCTCTGCCATTCCTCACAGTCAACAACTGTAAAGGGATTTTAAACCTCATTATTGCTTCATTCCTTTCATAAAGCTAAAAAATACAATTCAAAAATACAACAAGCAAACAAATGCAAATAGAAATAGAAGCTCAGCCATCAGTCAGCAAGGTCCATGAGGTCTTCTAAAGGAGAGGCAATACAGCTTTGTGGCTGAGAGTATACACTAACATTGCACTGCCCAGTATGGTAGCCACTAGTCACATGCAGCTATTTGAAATGTCACTAACACTTTAAGTTTAAAATACACATTGAGCTTGGAAGAATACTTTGAAAAAAGGATACAAAGTATTTCAACAATTTTATGTTGTTTACATGTTGAAATGATAATATTTTTTAATATACTAAGTTAAAATATATTTTTAAAAGTAGTTTCACCTATTCTTTTATGTGGCTACTAGAAAATTTTAAATCACACACGTGGCTCAGATTATGTATCTGTTGGGCAGTGCTGGTCTAAAATCAGACAGCCCTGCTTCTAAATCCCAGATACATGGTGCCACTTACTGTGTAAGGAGGTGGCTTTCCTCTCTAAGCACTGACTTGCTCATTAGTATATTGAGAAGAATGAATATACCTAACTTATAATGCCATTGTGAAAAGTAAATTAGATAATGCATGTAAAACATGTTGCATAAGATACAGACATGGTTCAAAAATCAGGGCTGCCCTTATTATTACCATCCAGCATTAAGTAAGTAAATAATGAGTAGATTAAGGTTTCAGACTTGGCTCTACCCACACCTGACCCAGGCAAAATAATTAATCTCCTAGATCCTTAGTTTCTTTATTAGAAAATCAGGAGCTAATCTATGTGAGGGCTGAATTTTTTCAGTCACCATGGATTTGTGGCACACCCACTATGAGCTGGGCACTATTCTGGGCTCTAGGGAAAGAGCAATGAACAAGTCAGATAAAGTTTCTGTCCTTATGGAGTTTATATTCCAGTAGAAAAAACATACCATAAAAATATTATATAGTGTTATGTTGGGTAGTAATAAGAGATATGAAGAAAATAGAGCAGGGTGAGGGAATAGCGTGATGGAGAGATGCTACTTTAGCCTATGAAAGTCCTCTCCAAGGACTGACATTTGAATAGAGGCTGAGAGACACGTGGAGAGCCGTTAGGGCTGAGGGAAGAAGCACAGGGCCCTGAGACAGGGGGATACAGCTGAGTCTGGGAAAGAAAGGCAGCCATTGCATAGCTGGGGAGCAAGGAGGTCAGGGCAGGAGAGCTGGCATGGCCAGACCACCACAGGCACAGAGACCTGTGAGCAACTCTGGGTCTCATTCTAGCACGAGGGATCCACTGAAGAGTTCTACACAGATTTTTTGTTTGTTTGCTTGTTATTTATTTTATTTATCTTAATTATTGAAAGTATTACAGATGTCCCCTTTTTTCTCCATTGACCCCTTCTATCCCACACCCAACCACCACCCAGGCCTTCCCCACACTATTGTCTGTGCCCATGGGTTACAAATATATGCATATAAATTCTCTGATTAATCTCTC